ATATATATATATATACACACATATATATATACACACACACACATATATATATATACACACATATATATATATACACACACATATACACACATATATATATATATATATATAAATATATATATATATTTATGTATATATATTTATGTATATATATGTATATATACTATATCATAAAAGTTTTTTTCTTTTTACAGTTTTTCAGTTTAGGATTAAAAGTTTGAATTCTGTCGCTGAAGGCACCAGAATTGGTGAACTGTCCATCACTGCACCGGCTCCCCACACATGCACCTGTGTCACTCCACCCAGACCTCCTGTTACCACCCAAGTCAACAAGGTGTTTCCAGGAGGTAGAGTATCTGGTGATGTGATGGACAGGGGTCCTTGTTAGGGCCCGAGTCCAGGGTCAAAGGTCAGGAGTTTTATGGTCAGGGTTATGAGTCAAATTTAGGGTCAAAGGTCAGAGAGTTAGGCTTAGCAGTTCGGGCGGGTTAGGTTTAGGTTAGAGTTTTTTATTTTATTTTAGTGTACAAAAAAAAAAAAAACAAGCATAAACTTTATCCAAAAGTTGTAAACTTCACTTCTGAATTCAAAACTCCACTCATGTGTCCAAACAAATTTAAACTACAGTTTTTTTAATTTATTTTTTATTCTATTAAACAACAAGCGGTACACCGATGTCCCCCGTCACTGAAGGATTTGAATAGTGAATGTTTGTGGTTTTGAAGATGAGTGTTTTTTCTGGACTGGAATTGAACAGGGAATGAGAGTAAACCTGGATGTTTTTGGTGTAAGATATTCAAGCGGGTAGGAGAAAAGGTGTTTTCTTAATTTTTATTTTATTCTGCTTTCGAGGCAGCACAGAGTGAGAACCTGGCGAGTGGATGGAACAATTTTTTCCACACGCAGTTGCAATGGCGGAGCCAAGGGGTGGCCAATGGTGGCCTTGGCTACCATAGATTAATCTTTGGCCTCCCCAGTCATTTGAGAAACTATACTTTTAAAGCAATATAAAACCTAGAAAGCATAGTTTTGTAAATAATAAGGGTGGTCTGTTTATATACATTTGACATATGGTGGTGGCCATCTTGGATTCTGATGTGGCAACCCAATTATCGAAAGGAACCTTTCTTACGTCTAGATGTAGTTCACACCAAAATGGAAGTTGGTATTTTACATAGGTTTCAAGTTATCATGCTCACCACATGCACGTACGGATGGAAGGTATTTTCAATCCCTCTATTCGCTCCACGACGGTGAACAATAAAAATAATTTATCTGCTCAGTTCATCTGAAGGGAATCCCGAGACAAGAGTCTCTGCTTTGCTGCAGTCACAACACAAACCTTCAACAAAATGCTTTAAAGACCGACAGATCTTTGTCCTGTTCAGCCTGATAGCCTTCTTTCTCTTTGTCTTCCTGGCTTTTTAAAGTTTGTTCTTCACCCAAACACCCGGACCGACTCTATGAACACAGGCAAACAGCTGAGCGGTAATGCGCTACTACAGGTGTCCCTTATCCACACCATCTTAGAGAACCTGGACGAAAACAGCAACCGAAGGGGAGACGGGAAGAAAAGAAACGTGAGATTGTCATCTAGTTTTTCCCCCTCAACAAAACAAGAGTCAGAGAAAACGGAAGCGGAGGGACAAGTGTCAGCGTGTCTGCAGTCATCAGAAACACAACAGATTGGAAAAAAGACAAGAAACTGACAAAAGGACAGAGCTACTGAAGGATGAGAGGAACAAACAAAATGTTAGATCAGCTCGCTTTCTACCACAGACTCTGATCTGAGCAGCACGGGCAACGTTCAGCATTTAAACACGGATTAAACTTTAAACATGGACGCAGGTTTCCTCTGATGAAAAGAACAAAAACAGTCGTGTAGGAGTTGAACTCGTCCCGAGTCGTAACAAACAGCCATTTTGATTTTATTTTTTACGTTACCTGCTTTATGAGAGTATTAATGAATTATGTCAGAATAAATAAAAACGGAGTTTACTGAAGTGCTTCAATTGAGAAACAACAACTTCAATCAGTGTGTGAATGTTTCTAAATCCTTCAAACTATTGAAATCAATTTTTCTCCTGTATGTTTATCAGCACTTACCGTATATTTCGGCCTATAAGTCGCAGTTTTTTGCATAATTTACATGCCCTGTGACTTATACACCAAAACGATGTATTTATTGATTTTTTTCTATATTTATAAACCAATGTTTGTCTGAGATACGACCGTTTCATTCATTCTGACTGAAAATATTGAACACTACCATTTTCAGCTGCTAGATGGCACTCGAGTAGTATGGCATGCCGTTGTGTCATGTAATAGGTAAATGTGGCTATTAATGACACAATCTGCTTGCCATAGACTGCCACCTTCGTCCAGTTCTCCTGGAGCAACCGTCAAATCAGCTTCATTTCACTGCACCGCCCTGGAGACATGCAGCGATTTGACCATTGAAGTGCATTTATTAATTAAAAGTTCAACTGAGACACACCTTTAATATAATGTCGAGCAAACAAATAATTGTTTTAGGTGTGTAACTTGGTAAATTTCAAAGAAATGCACAGTGAGTCCTCCCGTGCACTCTCCCGCAGCCGCGTATCGGCTTTGAAAAGCAGCTGATTTGAACGTCAAAGTGCATTTATTAAGCAAAAGTTAGACCGAGACACATTTTTACTTTAATTGTGAGCAAACAAATAATTGTTTTTAAGTGTTAATCTTGTTAAATTTTTGTTAAAATCATCCCATGCACGTTCCCACGGCCAACATTTGGCAGCCAATCAATTTTTGGCACATCGGCCCACATTTCCAAGTTGTCAGTGGTGACGCATAATAGATGCGACGTATTTATGGATTTTTCCACTTTACTAGACATTTTTGGACTGATGAGACTTACAGGGTGGAGTGACTTATAGGGTGGAGCAACTTATCAGGTGGAACGACTTACAGGGCGGAGCGACTTACAGGGCGGAGCGACTTACTGGGCGGAGCGACTTACAGGGCGGAGCGACTTACAGGGTGGAGCGACTTATCGGGCGGAGCGACTTATAGGGCGGAGCGACTTACAGGGCGGAGCGACTTACAGGGCGGAGCGAC